AGCAGCATGGACCCGGCGGGCGAAAGGCTGGCCACGGCCGCGGCGCGGGGCCGGGCCCAGGAGGTGCGGGAGCTGCTGGAGGCGGGGGCGCCGCCCAACGCCCCGAACCGTTTCGGCCGGAGACCGATTCAGGTAGGAAAGCCGGGCCTCGCGGGCAGAGCACGGCTCGGGGCTCTGCGGGCCAGGCTGGCAGAGCACTCGGAACCGCACAGCTTTCATTCAACGAAAGGTGGCATTTCCTGGGCAGTCGTCAGGTTTGCAATCGAAGCCCCTCTCCCGGCCACGGTGGCGATTCCCGAAGCCCAGGGGTGCGGTTTCCGGACGCAGTGCGTTGGGGGGGAGTCGCTCGCCTCGAGTTTGGGGCTCGCTCTTCACCACATGCCGGTCTGGGTGAAAACGCGAGTTTAAAAAGCGTTGTAAAAATGATTTGCTGGGAATGCAAAGGCTAAAAAAAAAAAAAAAAAAAAAAAAAAGAAAAGAAAAGATCAGAAAAAAAAAAAAAAAAAAAAAAAAAGGATTTGCCGGGACTACTTTGCTGATTCACAGTGCCCTGAATAGATGGGGTTTATCTTCCTTGCTAATGGGGATTTTCGTTGGAAATCTACTGCTGTATATGTTGGCTTAGATATCTATTAAAATTATTCACAAGCAACTACATATGGCTTATTTTTTATTTTCACCAAGTAGGAAATCGTATGCATGTTGTAGGAATTTGAAAAATAAAGACCAACATGAAGAAAAACATTAGTGTGATCTCATTTAGTTACTGTTTTGAGGCCACTTCCTATTCTTGATATTTTACTTATTTGGTATAAATTAACTTATTTGTGATAGAGTTTTCAATTCCTCATTATTGAAAAGTGTCATTTCTTTCCTCTGCCCTCCAGTTGGGTGTGGAAAACTACTAGAATTTTGGGGGGTTTTGCCTCCATTAACTTCCTGCATTTCAAGATGAAAAAACGAATTCACCTCGGCAGTTACCACCCAAGTTTTATTCCCAGTGGTGACCATTACTTCTGATTCTATAAAAGAAAATTCATATGAAACAAATCCACATTGCAAAAACTCCCCATAACCAGACAAAGGAAAATAACTACTTGAAACTTCACAAACTGCACCAGTGACTTCCCTGAAACTATGCAACTACGCAACATAGAGTAAATTTTACAGACTTGAAAGTGCAGATATGAAAATACAATGAAAATGTTTTAAAACTTGAGATTATTTGACAGTTGAAGTGAGAGACGTCTTGAGGCTAGAGAGATTAGGTAGTTATATCGGATGAGCAGGAGTCCATGAAATATACTGCATGCATTGGTCATAATTTAACATCCCTAAAATTTTGCCAGGGTCTTGGAGTTTGGCTTTGGAGCCCTACAGTATAATAGAAGAGACATTATTTAATTAACTTCAAAAAATGAAAAACAATTCTAAAATTAGTTTTGACAGTGATTTAGTAGAAAAAAAGAAGACATAGGGTTTTTTTAGATCTTTAACCAAATTGGTGTTTAATACAGGAATACTGGATTTATAGAAAAAAATGAAAATACAAAGCTCAAACTAACTTCTTATTAAATTGATTTAGACATCCTCTAAATATTCATTTTCTTTTTGCTTAAGATTACTGTTATTTAAATATTTAAATATGGGATACTTTTCTTCAGCTTTTTCATCTCATAAAGAGAGTGAAAAACATTTCAGATCAGTTTAATGCCCAGGATGGAGGTCTTCATCCCAGGCAAAGGACAGTGTACCACAATATTTTTTTTTCTTTTTATCTATAGCTATAATGTAGTTCACTTGCATTTTCTCCTACTCCTTTTGAATGCTAAATTAGTTTCATTTTCTTCAGGGCACGATTGAACAGCCATGGTACAATTTATGATAGTTCCCTCACTTAGGAAAATCAAGTAATTCTTTTAGTTGCTACAGAATGTAACTAAAAATAAGTAACTCCTCTTTAGCCAGCCACCATCCCAGGGCAAACATAGCCAAACAATGGGTGCCTGCCCTAAAAAGAATCAGCTACCACCATCACTCACCACACAGCACCCACAGTGCAAGAATGCACAGATTGTAGATACCATCTAAACCGTCCTTTCTGAGAGTGGTTTTATTCCACAGATGATGTAGGAATTAAGAGTTGAACATTTCCTGTTTAAGGAACTCTCAGATCATAAATTTAGGAAGTGTTTTAGTTTCCTGTTGCTGCTGTAACAAATTATCACAAATTTAGTGGATACAACATGCACAAAATTACCATTCTATAGTTTAGAAGTCTAAAATGAGTCCACAGAGCTTCTTTTCTTTGTGATGGCCCAGGATGGTAACACAGTTATAGCTTTTGAGAATTAGGACACTAATATCTTTTTGGGAGGGCATTATGACTTGGGTAACAGTATTAAGTCAAGAACAACAAGGAATTTTAGGACTAACTGGACAAGCCTCATTTTGTATTAAAATAAGTTGAAGTTTTAACATTCTAGTAAGAAAAGAGTAACAAAGTTTTGTGGCACTTAATGTTCAAAAAAAATTTTAACAGTTACCATGTCTGGGTTTTATAGCAGTGAACTACCCAAAATATCTCTGCCTAACATAATTTTATCTCAAAATGAGGATAAATACAGAAATTTAGTTTGTAGTAAAAGCCAGTTTATTGTACATCCCTTTGCCTTTCTGCGTGCCTCTACTCGTAGCTAGAGATCGACAACCTGTTAGCTAATACAGTGGAATTGAATGTGCAGGAGAAATGGAATGGGTAGAACTGGAGAAGGGTGGTGGTACTGGATGCAGATGAGAGTACTTGCATCCAGTATTTACATCCTGTAGCTTGTAGGGTTGTCTGAAGCAAGGGATGGGAGGGTGGGTGGGTGGGTGGTGAAGCTTCATAAACAGGGTTTCTTTCCATCGGTCCAGCCCAGCGCTGACTACTCTGCACCCTTCGCCCTTCGGCAGGTCATGATGATGGGCAGCGCCCAAGTGGCTACACTGCTGCTGCTCCACGGAGCGGACCCCAACTGCGCTGACCCAGCCACCCTGGCACGACCGGTGCATGATGCGGCACGGGAGGGCTTCCTGGACACGGTGGTGGCGTTGCACCAAGCTGGGGCCCGGCTGGACGTGCGTGATGCCTGGGGCCGCTTGCCTGTGGACCTGGCTGAAGAGCAGGGCCACCTCGACGTTGCTCAGTATCTGCGCAACGTTTCAGGGGATGTGTGAGCAACAGCTCCACCCATGCAGTCGCCCCGCATGGTCACCAGGTAAGGACGGGTGATTCAGGGATTTGAAGCCGGAGAATTCTGAAGCTCAACTGAACTTTGGAGGGCAAAGTTGAGGCTGGAGAGCAGGATCTCTAGGTTTGCTTTACCTCACTTGAGGGTCAACCGGAGTTTGCCTCAGCGAGGCAGCAGAGATGAGGCGTGACTGAAATATATGGTGAATGTTTACATAAAAAATCATTACAGTAAAAGACACATGACCGTTAAGCCCCCTCAGAACACTCCTCCCCACGTCAGACACACTTGTCTCATCTTGTACTTGCCACTTTCTAAAGCAGTTCTGGAAGTCCTCTTTCACAAATGTCTTTACCAGATGCCTTTAAAAAATACCATCCAACAGGAAGACAGACCCTTAAAACACTGCAGTGTGTCCTCATCCCCCTTACTCATCTTTTCCGGCACCATGTGGCGTTCAGCTCTTCCCCAAAGTCAAAATAACCACAAAAGATAAACGTCCCAATCGAATCACCAAGGTAAGTAGCCAAGACAGAGCAATTTAGACACACGAAAGACTGACTGCTTCAGAAAGTGGCAAGAATGATGGGATATTGTGCTCCAAGCAAGGAAGAGGATTTTGAGGAGAATTAATGTGTCTTTCACTGTAGTAAAATTTTTTAAAGCTCAAAAACTTACCATATTGTTTGGTCATACCACGTATAACCCGAAGACCCAGCACACATGAAAATCCATCCCATAAATCCTGCTGCTGCCAATTGCCCGAACAACTCAACCTCCCCCAGTGCCAGACCCTGAAGGCCTTGCCTCGGAGGCTTAGGGACGTGAGGACTAGTAATCCTTCTTGCTCCTCTAAACTAGCCGGTCACTTTTTCACCGGCCTCACTTACACACCTATGTTGTTGGGCCAGCCCCACAATTTCCAGTGTCTGTGTGCCAGGAATGATCTGGAGATCTCGCTGTCTCAGATCTTCTGCACTACTTCAGGAAATCTGATCCTCCGCCTTAGTCCGTGGAGTTTCCTATTGGTACCTGCAATGGAGATAGAGACCCTTACTCTGTCTTCGCTTAAGCTGTCCGTTTCTTCAAAAGATCTCTGAGCAAAAAGAATAAGTCCTTTTTGATTTTCCCTTCGGCAACCTCAAAGCCCCTCCCCCATGCCTTCCTGTTTCATCCCATCCCCCCATTCCTACACCTGTCTGCTTGTGTGCCAAATTTATTCTGATTTTTGTTGGAAGGAAAATATATGTGAAGCAATACAGAAGGATAATACGAATATTTAAGGTCAACTTCAGCTTCGAAGATCCTGAAATCTGTCCTGTTTTGCCTCAGAACTGGGACACAGCGGAGCCTGGCAGGACAGGGTGGAAAACTTAGCTCTAGGCCTTCCATTGGGAGATGCTGTGAACACAAAGCTGCAGGGCGCGAAGGAGGGGGACCTTGGTCTGAAGAAGGGCGCACCTTCCTCCACTGTAGCTTACAGAGCTGAGGTGCAGTCAGAAAGGGGAGGAGCCAAGGAGGCAAGAAGCAGGCTGTGGAATTGGACCAAATGAAGGAGTTCAGTGACCCACAGTGAACAAGCCTGCGATATTTATCCCAGACGTGTGACTTTATCTTTTTTCTTCATCCCTTCCCTCCTCCTTCCCTCACTCTTTTCCTTTCTCCTTCCATCCCTGCATCTCTTCCTCCCTTCTCTCATCCTCTTTTTTTCTTCCAATCCATTGTCTCTAACTACAGTTACAGTATCATTGGGACTTGCATTTGGGGTCCCCTATGGATACAAAATTCCTCAGATGCTCAAGTCTCTTATAATAAAATAGCATAGTATTTGCATCATTATTTTGTGCTGTTGGGATGCAATTCGGGGCTCCAGAATGCCAGACAAGCCCTCTACCACTGAGGTATACCCCCTCCCTCTTCCCAAAGCCCCTAAGGATTGAACCCTGGCCCTTTGCACTGAGCTGCATCCATAAATTAGATTAGATTAGATTAGATTACATAGATGATAGATAGATGATTGATAGACAGATAGATGCAAATGTATAAAATTTGAGACAGGGTCTCACAATATTGCCTCTGCTGGGCTCCAGCTTAGAACCCTCATGCTTCAGCTTCCCAAAGTACTGAGATTATAGGAATGGGCCAGAACCCTGGGTTTGCTGGTGTACTTTAAACCATCTCTAGATTACCTGTAATACCTAACACAATGTAATCGCTATGTTGTTGCTATAGTGCATTGTTTAGGGATTAATGAGACGAAAAAACTGCACATGAGGATGGAAACATAGCAGACCTAACTACATTTTCTATGGAGAATTAGTTGAATCCACAGATAGAAAACCCATGGGTACTGTAATCCCCCTGGCTGGTGCTGAGGACTGGCATGACTCTATCACTGAGTTACATCTCCAGGCTTATGGTAATTCTTTACTTAAAATGCTATTATGTGCTCAGTCCTGGTTTAGCTGCTGAGGGCACAAAGGTGAGCAAGACAGAATAGAAGTCCTATCCTCCTAGTGCGTACATTCTGAGAGATAGACGTTAAGCAAGATAAAATGTATTTTCTTTTTTAACACATTTCCTTTAGAGTTTGTAAAACCAATGCAAGTGGTAAGTGTGAATAGGGAGAAAATTAAACAGTGATTGGAGAACCTTACAGACAACAAGAAGGTAATCACTGAGGGCAGAGTCTCAGGTGCAAGGACTGTGACATGGTTGTGAAACCAGATCATGTAGGACCTTGTAGATTAGGTTGATAATTGCTCAGTTGCCCAGGTGTGTATCCAACTCAGCTTCCCCAAAGGAATTTTTAAAAATATTGTAGAAATTACAGGAAGGTTTCAAACCATAGCACAAATCTACAGGGGGTGCTTTCTCTTTTGTGACTCTCTGTTACCCCAACCACATGCTTTTTTGACTTTATTATTGTAGATTAAAAAAGCATCCATTCCAGTCTGGGAATGACAGGAAACCATTAGCAATTGGTGGGGGGGGGGAGGGCACAAAACAGCTGGAACCAAGCTTCTCACGGTGTCTGTCAGTACCAGACAAAGAGACACCCTTTGGTCAGGAGCTCCTGCCTCTTCACCAGGAAGAGATGCCTGGGGACACTGAAAGGTGAGCTGACATTTTCATGGCCAGCTCATGGTGTTTCGTTGGGCAAACACTTGGTATTCATTATAAACATTTTCCTCTTGCAACCCATGGGGTCACAAGGCTGATCTGGATCCTGGAGGAGTGGCAGTGCAGTGAGGACTGACAGGTTTTAGAACTGATGGGCAGATTCCGTGCCCAGCGTAGATGAATGCACAGAAAGGTGTACATGCAGGTGAAGCCATGCAGGTGAGACCTGGTCTCTAAGCGCATGAATTCCCAGTGGAGGGGAGGAAGGGATGGGCAGCAAATCTTCGATTTCTGGTCTCTAACAACTGTTTTCTTTCTGTCCTCAGCAAACAGGAAGAATCTGGTCATCAATTGGGAAAGTCAAAAGAAAATAAGAATGTCTTCCGCCTACCCAATTCTTGCCTCCTTTTTTAGTTCTATTTTGAAAAAAAAAATGACCATTTTTTAAAATGCGGAGCTGGAGATGTAACTCAGTGGCAGAGTGATTGCCTAGCATTTCAGGAAGCCCTAGGTTCATTCCCAGCCCCACCAAAATCAAATAAATAAACATAAAAAATTAAACTGAGAACTGCTTTTTTACATTGATCTGCCTTGCCACTACCCTAAGTGTCCATTTCTGCCTCCATTTTTTTGGTGGGGGACCACAACAAATATACATATTTTTGTATTGGGGAGTAGAAAAGAAAACAGCCCCCATACTGGGCCCTATTCAGTAGCAGCTTATTGTTCCATAAGGTTAAGACTTAGAGGCAATGAAACTTGTTGGGAAAACTTCACGCGTAGTTGCCTTGGTATGTTGTGCTGGGCCGAAGGGACGGAGGGAAGTGTGAAGGTCCCTCACAGCCTCCACCTGGCCTCAGGCTATGTCCTGGAACCCTGGGGCGAAGGAAGCGCTACTTTCATTCCTGTTTCTTGGGATTGTTGCCACGTAGTGATAGAGAACAAGAAGAGCGACATGCCCAGCATGTTGGCAGACATGGCACGCCACAGTCGGTGATCATCCTGACCAGCTCCACTACGCTCCATCGCGACCCAACCGCGGCCTATGCACAAGCAAGCACTAGCTAACCTCCTGGTCTGCCTCAATTTATATATCATTAGAAAAGTATTTGGGATGGTGGTAGCAAGAATTGAAACCAAAGTCTTGTAACTGAGCTACATTCCCAACCTTTTTTAGTTTTATTTTGAGACAGTGTCTAAGTTGCCCAGGTTGGGCCCTAACTTGGATTTCTCCTGTCTCGGCCTTCCTAAAGGCATTTTTATTTTACAACAGAAATTTATAGGTGGGATTCAGGCCACAGCAAAAATCTATGGGGTACTTCCGCTTTCTTGCCTCCCTTCAGACCAGCTTTTGTTGTTTGATAGCCAATCAGTGAGCTAAGAAAAGCTCAAACGAGTTACATGGCTTGTCCGAATCAATTTGTTGGCAAATTGTAAAGTCATGACTAATAAAAAATAGTTTTCATTCACTCATTCACTTAGTTAACATTTATTGAGGATCTATTACACACTGTGCTAGGGGTATAAAGGGGAGACAAGTATCGCCTCATCACACAAAACACATGACTAGAATTTTGGTCCCAATCACATGGAATCGCAGACATATCTGTACTATTGTTTCACGTACCTCCTAGAAAAAGTTAAAGTATGACACCATGAATTGTAAGACACATCCACATCGCAGAGATGATCAAATATCAAAGCCAGGGCTTGGGATCAATGAAATGCAATTAAAACGATGTATAGAAATTCCAGGAAGACCTCGGACTGCTGGGTTGTTCACTTGGCACTAGGCTACTACCCGACTGTGGCTGGGAACCTCTTGATGCTTGGATATTTACTCAGGAGGCATAAAGCTTTAAAAGTCGCCCACAGCCTTCCAGGTGGATTGTGCAGCTTGCTGGAGTCCTTCCGAGCCCGGCCTCCGAGCCCAGTAGCTCTGCTCTAGGACCTGCCCTCTGTGGCTCGGGCGCTGAGGTTGCCACTGACCACGGCGCAAAAAAATGCACCTTTGTGCTTCTCCGCAGAGCAAGAAGGCTGCAGAGCATTCTCCAGAAACGCAGCTCAAACTTCAGCTGTGGCCAGGGGATTCTTCTGCCAAGCTGCTGTGTAATCTCTGAGCAGTAGATTCTCTCTTCTTCCTTCCTTCCTTCCTTCCTTCCTTCCTTCCTTCCTTCCTTCCTTCCTTCCTTCCTTCCTTCTCCTGTTTCCTCCTTCCCTCTCTTTCTGAATAATCCCTGTTTTGTTTTCGCATAACATGATATTGACAATTTAAAAGTGTAGCACTAGCCCAGTGGGGAGACAAAGCCTGTAACCTCAGCTGTTTCGGAGGTGGGGACACGCGAATGTCAGTTGGAGGCCAGAGTAGGCAACACAGTGAGAGCCTCTTCAAAAAAAGAGAAGTGTACAATGAATGTGTCCACCATGTTCCTCAACCATCGCTCTCGTCTAGCGCCCTTTCCTGATCTCTAACGATGCTCCCACTAAGCATATCCATTAAATCTACAAATCTTACGCAGCTTTACCCACTCTGATATCTCTCGTAATCGGGACACGCGCGCTGCGCCCCCTGCGCCCGCCTTCGCCGCCCGTGCGTCCCCGGCCGCCGCCC